TACATTTGCATAATGATATGTGCATATTAATGAGATGTGATGACGTCATAAGAATATTGGCATAATGAGATGACGTCATTCTTCTCTAATGCATAAGAATGAGAGGTGACGTCATGATGAAGGGGAATCCCCCTTGGAAAATCCGGTGGAAAAACCCAAAATCCAGAAAATTCAGTGTAGAAATGTTTATTTATATAAAGCCTTTTGTAATGACTTCTTGTATCATTATATGCTTTTTATAAGAAATATATTTTCACTCCAATTTGATATGGCACAGTACAAATGGATGATTGTGGAATGGTGTGCCTTATTTCCATCGAAAAGGGAAGAAATTGTAAGGATGGAAAGCAAATGGTTTGACAATAAAAAGGACTGTATAAAGAATTTCAAAGAAAATACTAAAGGGGGGTACGATATCATAGATTGTTGGCGCTCAGAAGAGTATATCGTCCAACGGAAAAATATGAAAGATTGATGACACAAAGCGGTATATAAAAGTCGACACTGCTGAGGAAAATCATTTAAATGTAAATTACATCTCCACCCAGTAGGATGGCTGAACAAATCAAGCTATTTACAGAGCTTACAAATAATTGCGTCGAAGACTGCGGAAGCAATGTGAAAGAACGAAAGAAAATATATGTTGTATTATCGATCATTATGATGGCGCTACTCATCTCATCCTTGTGTGTTGTTGTGGGTGTTTTGCACGAGAAAAAAGAAGACTCAAATAGGGTAGACTGTATCTTACGACCTACGTTCACCGAGACATTGCCCGAAATCTGTCCTTTTATGGATCAATATCCCCTCTCGAACGAGGTATACCTGAGAATTTGTGTCAATGATACGGTAAGGATCGACATCAGACGCTTCAAAGAGAGAAGACCAAGCAATGACGGGATTACCATCAGTCAACTCCAATGGCAATATCTGAAACGATCTATTGATCACGTAGATGGATCCATTCTCAAATCCCAAGTACACGTTTAAGATGTGCTGAGTCATACCTTATTTATAAATAGCCTGGTGGTTTTTCCGAAATATTGTGTATGAATAACTAGTGTTCGGCACGCCGATGAACAATAATGGCTTTGCAATATAAGTGGATGGTCGTCATCACTTTTCCAAGTGGGGAGGAAGCCATTTTACTTGAGAGTCCTTGGTTCGATAGCAAGACCGAATGTAAGAGAGACTATAACGTAAAGATATTAAAGGAAGGTTACAGTTTACCTGATTCCTGTGGATCGAAAGAGTACATAATTAGAAGGAAAGAAATTTGTTTATAAAGAAATGAAGAAATCAGTGTGATTTTCAAACAATGTGGCAGTTATCGACATTCCTTTTGAGAACCGAAAGGGAGAATGGATGAGGATGGCCTTAGACAGATACCGTTTTAAGAGAAGAGTCGATCAAATGGCTCTGATCATTAATCCCGTTCTGGAGAGTCGTTTAATCAAAATCCGAAATCCCCCCAAAGTGACTTTTGTGAAAGGAGACCTACTGGAAATGAGAAATGTTGACGTCATTGTACAACAGTGTAACTGTCTGGCCGTCAAATCACACGGTCTCAGTCGGGATATTGCCCGAAAGTTCCCATGGGCCGACATCTACAGAACGAGAAGATCTGTGACACGAAGAAACCTAGCTGTAAAAGAGGATCGCGGTGTTCCAGGGTCCATAAAGATTCTTAAATCCCCAGGAGACGGACCCCATGTGGCCTGTTTACTAGCCCAATGGGATTTCGGTCGAGCTCCCAAGCGAGTAATACCACCGCACATAGATACAAAAGAGAATCGAAAAACATGGTTTAAAAACTGTCTGACAGAGCTGGGGAAAAGGGATTACTTCATTCTAGCATTTCCTTACAAAATTGGATGTGGATTAGCCGGAGGTCATTGGCCAACATATCTGGAGTTTATAAAACGTTTTGCTGAGGTGTATCAAAAGGATGTGTTGATTGTTGATCATGGTCTCTAATCTAATTGACTTTAAGGATTTCTTGACTTCCCGATGACGTTTATAATGATATCACTGCCACGCTAGATTTCAAAATGAAAACCAGATTCGCATGATTGTGGATTTTATAACATCATCATGAATCAAAGATGACGTCAAAAGCCTCTTATAAAAAAATCGACAGCAACTCCGAGTGCTCATTTCTTGACAAGCGATCATGGAGACAACTTCGTTCAAGTTGATGCCTTTCAGGCGCGTCAAGAGGGTTCTTGACGAGGATGAAAATGCTAATCAGCAGCCCTCAAAAAGAATGTGTGACGAAGAAAGGGTTCAGACATAGAAAACAGAGCCGATCTTAAAGATCCATCTTGGAGGATCCATGTACCTGGTGGCACAAGAATTCAACGGATCTTTATTGATACACATTCGATTTTACCAGTGTGTCAATGATGGCAGACCTTTTCCAACAGAGAAAGGCATCGCCTTAGATCTGGAAAAGTGGAAGAAAATCGTGGAATTATGTTTAGAGGACGTCAACGCAGGGATTGAAAAAATGAAGACTGGACAAGAAGTGTCCTACAAAAAACACTTGGGAGAGAATGTGTATCTTCGTCTGAATTCAAAATACCCTTGTGTTAACCTGAGGCATTTTTTTCTGCCAGAAGGCGAAACGGAGTTAAGGGCCACCAGAAAGGGGTCCGCTTTAAACCTAAACCAGTGGCAGGAGTTAAAAAAGGCAATACCGACCGTTCAACGGACTTTTGAGAAAGAACTGTCAGAAGTAGAGTACTGTGAAATGTCACCAGATCATCAAAATCAGATGGGCTTTTACACTTGTAAAAGGTGCAACCCTAACGAGTGGATGAATTATGTTTGACTATGCGATGACTGAAACTAAAAAAAACCTGTATATATTTTGGTCATGTGAATCTATGTTATCGTCATTTTGCAAAGATTGATGAATGTATCTGAATAAAACCTTTAAAAAAGCAGACATGTTTTGTCGTGTCTTCATTGAGCAAGATGCTGTCAAAGGATAAACAGCATTATCTGGAGAAAATATGGACAAATGTCGGGCATCCTGCGGCTTTCGGGGGTCCTAATCAATTGTACCAGGTTGTTAAAAGCGAAGGCAAATATAAAATTGGTCTTCGTGCCATCAAGTAATTTTTGTCCAACACGGACGCTTATTCTTTACAGAAAAGAGTACAGCGTAACTTTAAACGCCGACACATTGTCGTCGAATCTATAGACACACTCTGGGACGGAGACTTGCAAGACGTCAGAAACATATCAAAGTATAACGATGGGGTTCAGTACATCTTGGTTTTGCAAGACGTGTTTTCGAGGTTTCTATTTACGGCTCCTTTAAGGCAGAAAAAAGCTAACGACATCATAGAGGCTCTGAAAGACATTTTTTCTAATGGTAGAAAACCTAAGGTGCTGAGAACGGACAAAGGAAGCGAATTTAAAAACAGATGGGTGAAGGCTTTTCTGAAAAAGGAAAACGTTCATCCCATATACTCAGAGAATGAGACCAAGAGTTCTCTAGCCGAAAGAAGCATTCAGAATTTAGAGAATCGTCTACAGAGAATGTTCACTGCAAATCAATCGTATAGGTTTCTAAAGGAATTGCCCGCCCTAACCAAAAGCATTAACGATACTCCGTCCCGACCTCTAGGCGGTATGGCACCTTCTGAGGTCAAGGAAAACAACATAGAAGAGACCCGGTATGCCTCTTATTTGGCTTGAAAGCGGCTAGACAAAATGAAGTCGATCTCAAAATCTAGCAAGAAAAAAAAGAAAGTTTACAAATACAAAATCAACGACAGAGTGCGCATCACACATTTACGACACATTTTTCAGAGAGAATACGCGCAAAAGTGGACGGGGGAAATTTTTGTGATCATGAAACGTTACCGTAGTCAAGGTATACCCGTCTATAAACTTAAAGACTTTGCCGATGACCCCATCAGTGGAACATTCTATGAACAGGAACTGCAAAAAGTAAACAAAACCGACGAGGAGACGTGGAAGGTGCACAAGATTCTGAAGACTCGCAAGAGGAGAGGCGTGGAAGAAATACTGGTATCGTGGTACCAATGGCCCGGAAAGTTTAATTCTTGGATCAAGAAATCTGAACTTATAAAGGTATAAAAAGGCGTGACAGTCAACTCGAGCTTCAGATCAAGATGGGTCATCGGATGGTATTGCGTTCTTCTGATAGTGCCGACGTATATCCGTCGAATGTGCCTTGGAATTTTTGGGTACGCTTGCCGAAACCTCTGTCTTTCGAGGGCATCTTGACTATATCTCTCCTAGAATTCAGTTCTACTCCCAATAATCAGGCGAAAGAATTGTACGTGTACTGCAATGCTTGTGAGAACACCATCGTCGGTGACCGTGAGAAGCCATTGCTGAGGCGCGTGTTCAAGGGCAGAGAAAAGAACATCATTTATCAGCTCCCATACGACGTGCCTTTAAGACTGGGTGAAGTACAGTCTGTGAACGTGTATATAAGGGATTCCCACGACAATCCGGCCTCATTTCTCAAAGGGGAAGTGACGGTGACGCTTCTATTGAAAAGACATCTCTTGTCGTTGTGACGATGGGTTCGACCTACGTATCTGATCCTCGAGTGTGGAAATCCTTTTACAAGAACATGTTAGGTGGACAATTTAATCCTGGAGGTTATCGAGGTAGGCAAGTGGGTGGAGGTATCGCGGGAATGTATTCCAAGAAACCTTACATGATACCCGTCAACCCTCACGTGACTACCAAAACGGGAGGGGAAAAGATTATCGGGAAGCAAGTCACCCCCGTGGCTGCCGCAGAAGAAAGAGCCAAGACGGAATTAAAGACGGCCAAGAAAGAGGACGTCCCTCACGTACCAGTGGGTACTATAAAAGCCGGTCGATTTCAGAAAGCCGTCAGTAGCAAGAAGCGCATCAGAAGAGGTACGTCAAAGAAAAATACACAAAAGAAAGCCAAGAAAAGAAAATTAGACACACGCTTGGAGGGATCAAACGTATTTGAAAAGTAAGATGGCTTTCCTCAACGACAAGATCACGGACATCGGACTACCACTGGAATTGTCTCTCTTTACTGTGCCGCCCAATCAAGTAGCTGTCGAAAAAATTTACTTTTCGGAATGTCGTCCCGTGACCTCCTTCGACACCACCGATGCCCCCATCGAAATAACCGTTCCCAATCAGGGCAACGAGTACATAGATTTGAGACGCAGTCGCCTCTATGTCAAGTGCAAGATCCTCAAAGTCGACGGCACGCCACTGGCTGCTCAGGAAAAGACCGGCATCATCAATGTCCCCCTACAGTCCATGTGGTCTCAGATCGACGTGTACATGAACGGGAAACTCGTATCGCTCAACACGAGTTATCATCCTTGGAAGGCTTATCTCAAACTCATTCTCTCGGACGGCGGGGACGTGACGGGCTCCCAGTTACAGTCGCAATTATTTTATCTGGACGATTCCGAGATGGACGACCCGGACCCTTACGCAGGGTCCAACGGCGGACTGGCCAATCGATACGTGTACACACAGCAGAGTCACATCTTCGATCTGGAAAGACCCCTGTACGAGGACATTTTTCGTCTAGACAAGTATCTTCTGAATGGCGTAGATCTTCATCTGAAACTGTTCCGTACTTCATCCTCATTTGTTCTGATGAGCGAAGAGAGTACCCCGGCTTACAAACTGCAACTGCTGGACGTATCGTTTAAGGCATGTATGGTCAAGGTAGATAGCGGGGTCTTAATCAATCACGCCGAGATTCTAAAAGAAACAACTGCCAAATATCCTCTGACTAGAACTGAAGTGAAAATGAACACCTGTCCAAAGGACTCGGGATCTTTCATCTGGCAGAACATCTGGTCTAATACCCTTCCCATGAAAGCCGTCTTTTGCTTTGTGTCACAGACGGCCGTCAACGGAGATTACCAGAAAAATCCATTTAATTTTCAAAACTTGGCCGAGGAAATGGCCTTGTACGTCAATGGAGAAAGTCTGCCAGCTCGACCCATGAGAATGGACGTGGGAGTCAACAAAAACTACGTTTCCGCCTACGTCAATCTCTTCGAGGCTTCGGAGAAGTGGAACAAAGACGCCGGACTCAAGATCACTCGTTCCTCTTTGGCCAGCGGATACGCGATATTTGCTTTCAATCTGGCACCGAGTGACTTGGGAGAAAGCTATTTAAACCTGATTCGTCAGGGAAACGTCAGATTGGAAGTCAAGTTTGCAAGCGTTACGACCGAAACCCTGAACTGTCTCGCATATGCAGAATTTCCCGCACTCTTAGAGATAGATCAGTCCCGGGACATCAGATACACGAGAGCATGAACACCAAACAACTGCAGTGCGTCTTAAGAGAAGACCAGTGCCTATCAAAGATTACAAGCGGTGTTTTTGCTTCGGATACGCTTCCTGTTTATATCGGCTTCTATCCTGCTGCAATTGTCTGTAATACGGACGAATCCAATATGCCGGGAAAACACTGGGTGGCGATGTGGTTCGACAGAATCGGAAAGGCAGAATTTTTCGACAGTTTTGGATGTCCTCCGGATAAATACTGCGAGAATATCCAACGTTTCTTATAAGAAAAATCCTTGTCTTACACGTACAACGAAAGAGCTGTACAAAACAAGAGTGCCTGTACCTGCGGATATCACGTGTTGTTTTTCTTGATGATGAAATGCAGAAACTTTACCATGAAAGACATCATAAACATTCTGGTCGACTCGGGTCGACCTGATCAATTTGTAAACAGAGTCGTGAGAGACTATTATCACTGCCTTTAATCATACTTAGTTGTATATTTGCTAAAGTTAAACTTGTTGATTTGTTTTCTCTGTGCACGTTATTGACAATAAAGGAATTGGTGTCATTTCTGTATAAATGAGAGTGTTCAATCAGAAAATATCATTTGGAGATTTGATACCCTGACATGGAGGGTTGGTGGAAAAGAGAGTCTTTGTTGAAATTCACGAGTCCCACGACGTGTATGGTGGTAGGACCAACCATGTGTGGAAAAACCAGATTCGTGTACGACGTCATACGTCAGGCTGGTGGCATGTTCGAGTCGCCACCCGAAAAAATTGTGTATGCCTACACGGAATATCAAACGTTATTCGATGAGATGGAGAGGAAAATAGACAATTTTGTGTTATATCAGGGTCTGCCCACCAAGGAACAGATAGAAGAATGGAGCACCAATTGTAAACACAGCCTTTTGATTTTGGACGACAAGATGACTCGAGTCACGAGAAACGAAGATTCCGTGACTCTCTTCTGTGTGACAGCTCACCACAGACAAGTGTCTGTTTTCTTTCTTGGACAGAATCTCTTCATGCCGGGCAAATACTCTAGAACAATATCTCTCAATTGTCATTACGTCGTCTTGTTTAGACAGGTGCGACAAATCTACACTTTTGGATCCCAGGCCTTTCCGTCTCGATTAACTTATTTCAAGGATGCTTATGAAAAAGCCACATCTGTGCGATATGGTTACCTGTTAGTAGATTTGACCCCCTGTTCGCATGACGAGTACAGGTTGCGCACGCATATCTTCCCCAATGAAGACGTCACCGTGTACGCCCCCCAATAAAAAGGCTTGCACTCATCTGAAGTATTCATTATGACAATCATGAGTCGAAGAGTGAGAGGTCAGCTTCATTTCTTGTCTCTCCTGCAGAGCACGAGTCCCCGACAGAGTCGGGCACTCATTCAGACCATATCTAAAGATCAATTGACGGCCCTTTCTGAAGTGATTCTGAACGTCTTCAAAGGAACTTTTCCTCTGAAAAAGGAGACGATAAAAAGACTGAAAAGGCACAAAGCGGCCATTCGAGTTTTGGCTTCACGACGAGAAAGCAAGTCCGACAAGATAAAGATTCTTTCTAAAAAGGTGAACATACTTCCGTACCTCATTAAACCGGCCTTGCAAGTCATTGAAAATGGCACGAGAACTGATTCTAGTACCTCGCGCAAAATACCAGAGGATATTAAAAAACGTGTCTCAGAAAGATCAGACGAGTCGTGACTCCGAGGACCAAGAATACGACCCTGCAGAGAAGAAAAAGGATGCAAAAGAATCTGTCGAAGTCATCTTACGCAATCTTCCAAAGATATTACAAAGAAAGGCTAAAAAACTTCTGCATTACATTGAGGAACAAGGCGGTGATTTGCTGAAATGGAACGAATCGAAAGAGCTCGTTTACGAGGGTAGTGTGGTGAGGGGGTCCCACGTGAACGATTTACTGAAATATGTGCTGATGAGAAATCCCAAACAGGTTCCGAAAGGATATCTACAATTTAGGGAAGCTCTTAAAACAATTCACACGCCAGCCTCCCTGTGGATCGATAGGTTCTCATCACAGGAGACACACCAACACGGAGAGGGATTCCTCGTCCGAGGACCGGTCGGTCCTCCACCCGGACTACGACCCATCCAGAAACAAGAGAAAACATTAAACGTAAAGATATTAAAGGAAGGTTACAGTTTACCTGATTCCTGTGAAAACATTAAATTGGATCAAATTTTAATGTGGAAAAACTTTACAACACATGCCATTTCGTAATAAATCATGCACTCGCTTAACAAGTTTTACGTGTTCATTTGTATGAAGTCAATATCCGTACGGTAGAGTGTCGAGAGTGTCCCCCTGAATCACTCGTTTACTGTACACGATTTTATAGTCCTTGCGTTCTGGTCTACTATAAATGATCCTCTTTCGTTTTAATCTGTTAATTTTGTTCCGATTCACGACACTAAGGGTGTCATTCGACATGTCTCTAGGTCGCACAACCATCTCTATCATCGATCTAAAGTTCAGTACACGGGCATTGGCGTGGTTGAGCGAGAAGCCTCGGATTTTACACACTTCTGTTCCACTGGACGTTCTATACGCATAATTCTTGGGACCTCCAGAGACGAATTCGTTGATATACTCTCCCGGTTTCAGCTCGCTCGTCAATTGACCCAGAAAAGACCCGACTTGGGGTTCGGCATCCCCGGGTTTACTGACAAATATGACGGAATCCGTATCAAAATACAGGACACGCTGGTCCAGCATTTGCAGGACGTACAATTTCAGGCGAGCCCAACAGGTGGTGAAACTGGCCACAAAGATGTTGGTTTGATAGTCCTCTCTCGTGTTCACGTCTTTGTGTTCCCAAGACAACTGTAACACGTTTTTGGACACGATGTGAAAATCTCTGAGCTCCTTACCCGGGTCGGACACGAACTGGAAGAATTTGTCAGCCTCGTTTTCGTGAAAAAACGTGCTCTGAGGCATGTTAAAACGTTGTCCGAATTTACCCCAAAAAGAGTTCAAGAGTAGTTTGGCAATGGCACGTAGTGCCGGATTTTTTGTAATGTTCTGTCTGTCGAGTTTTATGCCCTCTCTCTCTAGATACTGCCTGAGATAGTGCATGGCATCTTCCTCGTCCTTAACCCAAGAAGGCCATCCGCTAGCTTCCTGCTTGATCTTTAGAAAAAGGTTGATATATTCTCCAAAAATGTCCCCTTCTCCCGTCGATAAGTCAAACTGTGTAGACTCTTCCCAATGGTAGACCTCATAGATCTTTTGTACGAGATAACCGCATTCTAATGCTTTCTCGATCTCCGGCGTACAAAATACTCCTACAAAGGACCTGTCTTCGTCTCTGCATGCACAAGTGGTCTGCCTTTGAACTTCAGCACAAGTTCGGCACAGGGCAAAGGTAAGCTTTCCATTAATCTTCTGAGGCAAAACGGGATGGTAAAGTTTCCTGGGGGGTAACACTTTCACTTTGACCATGCCGAAATAAGAACGAATGTCCTTTAAATTGTTGGTGATGATGGTTGGTTCCTTGATGGGGTACCTGGCATATTTATTGACAGAAGGGTACAGAGAACAGAAATCCAGGTAATGTATTTTCTCTCCATCTTTCACTTTGTAATGCAGTTTGACGGCGTTTGTTCTGCCACCGAAAAAGGATTCTCGAGGATTCAGACGTTCTTGTATATCTAGAGATTCGATGAAGCGACGTGCGGAATCATTTCTGGCCAGTAGCTTATAAAAATCGTGTTCCCAAATTTCTACATAATTCATGCCCAGCGATTCTATGTATTTTTTCTTTTTAAATGTCAAGGCCAAAAGTTCATCCATGGATTGGTCGGTTCTGACGTGTTTGTTTTTTCGTCTCTGTTGGGGGTAACAAAGGGGGCATCCGTGCCAGAAACAACCGTGAAATTCATAGGCCGTGTTTGTTTCGGCGCAATAGCCGTCCAGTAAGTATTTCGTTCCGGCCAAGTTGAATTCTCCCTCGTTTAAGGCATGTCTGATGTACATCTGTTTCCCCGTAAGTCGGAAGTGCTCTTCTTGCACCCATAAAAGCCATCTGATGGACGCCATGCTGTACTGACCTACATAGGGACCGTATCCCTGAGAAGGGACTTGCGCAATGGGCGAACTAACGAATTTGGTTGACTCGATGGTGTGGTCCTGCATGTCTCTGGCCGAGATCCATTGTCCATCCAAATTGATGGAGAATTCTCCGTCCATCCGCAAGGCCGGTGACCATTCGTCAAATTACCATTAGACCTCAATTTCACCTTCCAGCTTTCCTTGAGAAACTTACTTCGAAAGACTTGCATACACACGCTAGCTATGGTGATGTGATTAAAAGGGTCGACCCCTCCCCGAACTACTCTTTCCAGGCCTTCCTCACCTAAGACGACTTCTTCTTTTCCCGTAATAGTCATGAGGATTTCTCTGAACTTCAGACATGCTTTTCTCAATATATCGACATCGCTCTTGCAGTATTCGAGTAATTCTTTAGAGAAATCTAAAATTTCTCGAGTTTCGACTTTTTCTCGATACCAATCCATAAAGGAGTCTCTATCGCTCGCATTCATGGTGTCGCATCCGTAAAACTGAGCGGCTGGATAGGGCCCCATATAGCGTTGATTAGCTCTCGTGTTAAAGTAATGAGGAAAGAAACCCTTCTTCACTTCTGTCAAGCCAAAGGCACTTGGAAGATTGGCTAATCTCATGGGTAGAAAATTGAGCGAATCCAACATTCGAATGTTCAATCCTCTCTCTACGTGCATGTACATGATCTTGGAGCCTGCATATATGACCTTGGGTATCACAGAATTCTCGATCAAATATTCTAAGACAAAGTAACCATCGTAACCTTTCATGTTGTGTGCTAGAACAGTATAGCCTTTGTGGTGCTCTCGAAAGAGCCAGTCGCAAAACATTCGGGCGGTGTCATCTCCACGAAACACGGTCTCTCGAAATCCACACGTATCGACACAAGGGGGACGGTTGTAGCACTTTTCTTTCTTGTCTCTCGCCCCACACATCTTACAACGCATACCACAAGTCTCGCATTTGGGATGCATACTAATGTCGACATCGTTGATGCAGTCCGGGCAGGTTTTATGTGCCACGACCAGATTGGGTTTGTGTTGCAATCTCCCACACCAGGATTTCTCGCAGTTGGTGCAGAGGTCACAGCTTCCACAGGAAACTGGCATGTCTTTGCACGACGAACAGTCGGGATTTCTCAGGGGGCGATACCCTTCTTGACACTGAAGAACGTCTTCTTGCGTGCACTCGAAATCGAAGAAAATGTATTTCGAATTGGATTCCTTGTTTTCTCTAGCTCTCATGTAGCAGAGATGGTCATTGGCGACAAACTTCTTACAGTTGTTACACCGCCATTCTCCACAGAAATGGTCTTCTGGTTTTCTGTCGCTCCTCTGCATTACTTTCTTGCAAATGACACATTTCCACCACCGTTGACAAGAAGATTCTTTGGCCCTTTTTTTCTTCTGCTGATGCTGTTGAAAACAATCAAACGAACGACAGGTCATGAAGCAAATGAGACACTTCATTTCTTCCCCTTCTTTCCGAACACAATTATCTCGCTTGCAAACGAAGCAAGTCGTCAAACACTGGTGACGTGTGTGGTACGGTTTGAGACAACGTTGACAGAATTTAGTGTTCCCAAAGAAACCACAGATATTAGATATAGCATCAAAGTGAAGATCATTCGTGTCCGTTTCGGAATGATATAGATAAATCCTTTTTCGGCTAGTGGATTCTCTGGGACCCTCATTCATCTCATTTTCTTCATTTGCGGGGACGGGGCGGATGAAGCGATTGCCCACCGTGGAACTGACTACGAGAATGTCTACGTTCAACACTTCCTCGAAAGGGGGAATGTCTCGTGTCGTGAGATACACGTCAGTTGACATGTTTGCTCTGCGACAGAGGGCTCGAGCCATATCGGTCTGAGAGTCTTGAGATTTTTTGTCGTGACACAAAAGTTTTTTATAATACCAGGTAGGACAGACTTTGACTTCGAGCACCTGTTCTTCAATGGGCATGCCTTCCCGTCCCTTGATTGCTTCATGCCATTCGGTCGTGGTCACTTTGACAATTTTCAGGAAACCCATGACTATGCTTCGGGCTAGGCACATATTATCGTCATTCACGATTTGAATGAGTGATTTTTTCCTTTCGCGGTCGTTGCCCTTTCTCGTTAGTTTAACCACAGACCGTCTTTTGCCGCCCTTGGGAATCTCGATGGTTCCGATATCAATATAGAAGCTGTGATCAAAGGGTAGATCCTCGTGACTGGTAAGAACATTTTGTATGTGGTCCATCACATCGCTGGCAGTCAGCTGAGCAAGAGGTTTCAAGGGAATATAGATGGCATTAGACAATTTGTCGTGGTGCACAATTACTCGACCCAAGTCGGAATCCTGAAGTCCGGATCTAGCTTCATTTATTGATTCTTTAAACATGTCTTCTAATGGCCGATAGAGATCTGCAAGTCTCTGTCCCTTAAAGGACTCCTCTTTGAAAGTCACTTGATATTTTCGATCGATGGCCCCATTTTTCTTGAATCTCTTTTCCCCAACCTTCTTAATAGTGTATAATAACTCCTCGTCATTGTGAGATGGTCTGATGTGTACATCAAAAGATTCAGATGATCTCTCAGTTGTTGAGGAAAGATTCGGATTTTTTGAGGGTCTTATTTCCGTTTTTGGATCAGGACTTCCTTGACCCATTTGATTTATGATTAATTCATTGCGGTTTCCAACTACAGGATACATCTCCTCAAAGTTACCTCTGAATTCTTCAAGAGATATGTCAGTGGATGGGGAGTCACGGTTTCTGGGGGAATAAATTTCCAGGAGGGGTTTGGGGGGTTCTTGTAGAGATTCCATGCAGGAATGCACCAATTCGTGAAATTGCAGGTCCGAGAGATTGCAAAAACCCTCACCACAGATGCAGCAGATATGAGATGGAGGTGGCTATGAATAAAAAAAATTGTTTGTACATACAAGAAAGTACTAAGTTTTTCATATTTGATTTATTTAAGATGCAAATTTCAACAGATGACTTGATATTTGTTTTATTTAAGATGCAAATTTCAATAGATGACTTGGGGGGGGGGGGGGATAGGGTGATTGGAGATTACGAAGGAATGTTCAGATGCAATAATCATATTGATGCGTTTACTCTACAATTCTTGCATAATTTCTAATGCGTTATTCTTCCAATCCATAATTTATATAATTTCCTCATTAACTAGAGTCCAATTCATAACTTATATAATGTCATCATTAACTCTAGTCCAATTCAAGTTGTGATTTTTTTTGTCCAATCCATAATTTATCATATGCCATACTCTATAATTATACAACTTGGGTCCAATCCAAGTTGCGATTTTTTCCAATCCATAATTTATAATATGCCATACTCTATCATCATTAGCTCAAGTCCAATCCACGTTGCGATTTTTTCCAATCCAGAATTTATAATATGCCAAAAACTTTCCCCCATTTCAATCATTCCACAATCTATATCATACCCATAATTAATTATACCCATAATTAATCCCCCATCCCCCCTCTCCGAGTGTCCAATCCTCAATTAAAGGATTCGTTCAGTCCATAATTTACAATATGCAATTCAAAGGTACGGTATGGAAGGACTAACAGAATTTTCCACATCATTTTCCTTATTGCTTTCTGTGTTCTGTGTCCTTCCTTTCTTTTTGGGCGGGGAGAGTGTGGACACACCATCAAGAATCTCGTGTTCTATTTCGTGACCCTCCATGTCAAATTGTAAGGATCATTAATACAACATGTGTCTCATGTAAAAAATATATATATCACAGAATTCATTATATGGAAAAAAAATTATCGAGATCATAATAAAAATGTTCATTGCAATAACCAACCGGTAATGTTAAAAACATTACATCTGTAAAATTTAAACCACCTCACTGAACAAACTTTTTGCAATTACGACATTAATACTACATGTGTCTCATGTAAAAAAAAATATCACCTTCATTTTCTTAAAAAAAATATCAAGATGTCATATAGACGTACATAGACATACACCTTACTGTCACAAGAGTCCCATGTTCATGACATAGAGCAAATATCGGTAGATATGCAATAAATGAAAGTCAACTAAAGTACCTAGTAGATCATACCGAGTTTGCAAAATTTTGTACCCTCTACTATGATCTTAATCCCGTTTACTGTTTCTCCTCTCTTTTGTTTTGGCTCTGGTCAAGATAGGACTCCTACTAGATTTACTTTTTTGATTCTGTTCCTTGGGAAGGGATGGACTGGCTGCGGAAATTACGGTGGAATCCAATAAGCTTTCCGACATTTCGTGTTCTGGAGTATGAATGGGTGATGGCGTATAGTCAGGTCCAGGATATCCACTAGTGTGAGTCAGAGTTGTTTGTACAGTTATATCAGACCCCAAATCTAGGCTGCTTGGGATTTCAGGTACAAGAGACTGAATGGGGGATGATGAACGGGGATGGGTGGGGGTTGTTCCAGGGTCTGTTTCATCATCAAAATGAATGAGGTCAGAGTCATTGTCTTTGTGCATGGACGGGTTGCTTTCCTCCGGAGGGGGGTGAGGGAAGATTGGCCTTTCTTCTATGTCACGCACTACAGATGGGTTGGATCTGAGTCGTCCAAGTCGACACTTCCTCCAGCAGAAGCAAAGTACGACAACTCCCACCATTGCAAAACCGATGACTACCAGGGATAACTCTGTTTAAAATAAATATATTCTAAATTAGCATATAAATGTGTAATACTACCTACATTTCTTTATAAAGGGGAGAATTATAACACCTCTTTTGAAAAGTATTTAGAGTGCATTCGACACAATTATACATGAGTGATGATGGGATGTAAATAAAACAAGCTATGTCTAATTCTGACACAAGTGTAGAGCTCGTGTGCTCCTAAGTTTTAGCTTGTAAATTCTTTATTTATATATACAATAAAAACAAAATGACCAGGCACTGTATGACCAATGAAATTTTCAAAAAGAGAAAAAACACCTCTAAAACAATTTAG